GGCACAGGAGATCCTCCATGCAGTTACTGAAAGGACAAAGTACAATTGGATTGCTTATGAGTAAGAGAGAAGGAATGTTAGATGATGGTATGGGAGTGATGAGAACCCAAAGACTGTACATCTTCACTTTGAGATTGCAGTGGTAAACTGGGGAGTCTGATGAGGCCTGAGGAATTGTTAGTTGATTGCCCCTCTGCAATATTAGAGTTGTCTGATTATTTGGATGTTTAAACAAAAGCACTGGCTGTCCTGTGAACTTTCCAATACTAAATTTAAGCATTATAGGGATGACTTGACTGCTGGGACATCTAGATATCTATTCAGATAATGGAACATTTTTCATGCTTAGGCAGCCTAACAGCATATTTCCATAACTTTTTTTTAATGTTTGCAGAGTAATGGAGGCAAGAGAGCCCTGAAACTCTACTCATAGACAGTTGCTGCTTGTCTAATTTTATATTGGTACCAAACATATCTATCCCCTGTTAATTTTCTATTGCTACGTAACAAATTACCACAAACATTGTGGCTTAAAATAACACAAATTATCACACAGTTTCTATAGTAAGAGCTCTGGGCACAGCATGGCTGGATGTTTGGCTCAAGGTCTTACTAGGTTTTAATCAATGTGCCATCTTAGAATTCTGCCCAGCACACCCTACAAGGTTCTATCTGCTCTCAGCCATCGGTTAACAACCCAGGCAGCTGGATATAAGGGTTTAGAGCTCAGACCTCAGGTCAGAGCTAGAGAAATAGCCAGAGGAACCAAAGATTAAGCAAAGCTAGAACAGGCCCACTGTTTGAAGCAGGTTAGGAAAAACACAACAGCAACAAAAATAGTAAAAAAATGAGGCATCTCTGAATTACAAGGCCACAAAAAATGTCTAAACTGAATGATTAACAAGAACTAAGTCTATACTTGTTATTTTTATAAGGACCGAAACAGAACAAAGCACAGAGCACACCCTAAAAGGCACACTTCAAATGTGCCCGTTCCAAGCTAAGGTTGGGGTGCGCTTTAAAGTCAGTCTCCTGGAACCTGAGGGCGCCTCTGAGGCCACGCCCATCCCTGGCCCCGCCCCGCCCATGACCACGCCCCTTGTCCTGGCCACGCCCCCTCTGCACGTCCTTCAGACCGGCCTCCATCTTGAGAGACCCCTCTGGCGTCGCCAGTGCGAAATCCTCATTTGGGTTTGGGCTGTGAAGTGGCGGTAAGTAAAGTGCCCAGCTCCGGGCTTCCCACTGAAGCATCTCCCGAGACGGGAGCTGCGTTCGCTATCGAGTTGGCCGCCAGACCCGAGGCGCTGGGACGCAGTGAGCTCGCCGGGTCGGTTGGACCTGGAGCTGCCCTGAGGCGCCGCGCTCCTGGGAGGAAGCCGACCCGCAGCCCTTCCGCCTGCGCGGGCCGTGGGGGCAGCAGCGCCAAGCCCCGCAGACCCGGGGCTGGCCCCGGGGCGGCCTGTCCGCAAGTCCCCGGGCGGGAAGGGCTGGGCTCCTTTGTCTCTCCCGCCTCGACAGTCACAGCCCGACGCCGCGTGTTGTTCAACGTCTGAAAGTAGTTGTTCAGCGTGTTCTGTCCGGTTTTCTGGGGTGTGTGGCGGGAGGCCAAGTCTTTTCCTAGTTCTCCATCCTCACAGGCCCAGCCTGGTTTTTGACTCAAGCGCGTGGGTGAACAGTGGCGCCCTTTCCTGAGATGGGAGGTGCCTGGGGAGGACTTGGTCTTGGAGGGAAAGTGAGGGATTCGGTGTTGGACCCGCTGCATTCGCGGTACCGGTGAGCGACGCGAGTGGGCCTTTCAGGAGGCTGTCGGGTGTGTGGGTTTGGAAATCAGAGCAGAGGCCTGGAAGGGAAACGGTGCTCATTGATTTTTTCCCCCCCTAAACATTGAATTTTCAGTGTGGACTTGGCTGCCCTGGCTGGTGGACTGAAATATAAAGGACCTGTAGATATGTGGGAAATGGCTGTGGTAATGATTCTGGTTAAAATGCTGCCTTTAACTTGGTGTTTCAGCCATTTACCATCCTCTCAGTCAAAGGATAATTTGATATTTGCAACATAGACACCAAGTTCGTGTAGTTTCATTCTAGTTTCATCATCAACTAGTTCAATGTTTTTTCTTGTTTCCGCTGTGATTATCTTCCTTTGACCCATGGGTTTTAAAAAAGTATGGTTTTAAGTATGGAGGTTCCTAAAATAAAAGTAGAACTGCCATATAATTCAGCAATCCCTCTTCAGGGTATTTAAAAGAAGAAATCTAAAACACTAATTCTAAAAAGTGTATGCATCCCTATGTTCTTTGCAGAATTATTTACGATACCCAAGATATGGAAGCAACCCAAGTGCCATCAGTAGTCAATTGGATAAAGATGTGGTACATACAGGGTGTCCCAAAAACATGTATACACACTTTAATAGCTGATAGCGCAATTGGTGTTTCTTTCTTTTCAGCCAGACTAAACTTTGAACAAAGGAAATTCATCCTAAAATGCTACTGGAAGTTTGAAAAAGCAGTTGAAGTGCAAACACTGCATAACACTTAATTTTCACTCCTTTTCAGGTTTTACTAATTTGAAATAATGGGTGAAGCCAGACTAAGCTTTGAACAAAGAAAATTTACCCACCAGACTTTTTAATGGGGATACATGAAAGATGAAGTTTATGGTACAAAACCGGCTACAGTTGACGAATTGAGGGCACACAAATACTGAATCGAAATGATTCTTGATGTTTGCGATTCCATGGCTTCATATTCTTAGCAGTGCTTGGACCAGGATGGTCATCAGTTTGAAAGCAGGCTTTGACAAAAAAATTATTCATTTCTGTAGATTCTTTTAAATTTTGAAAATGAACTGTGTGTTAATAAACACTTTATAATCATTCAAAGTATGTGTACAATTTTTGGGGTCACCTTATATATACAATGCAATATTACTTGGCTATAAAAAAGAATGAGATGTTACCATTTGCGCTAAATATATGGAGCTAGAGGGTATCATGCTAAGTGAAGTAAGTCAGACAGAAAGACAAATAGCATATATTTTCATTTATATGTGGAATCTAAACAAGAAAATGAACAAACAAAACAGACTCATAGATACAGAGAACAAATTGATGGTTGCCTGATGGGAGAGGGTTGGGGGGCTGGATGAAAAAGGTGAAGGGATTAAGAAGTACAAGTTGGCAGTTACAAAATGGTCCCAGGGGTGTAAAGTGCAGCACAGGGAATATAGTCAATAGTATTGTAATAACTATGTATGGGCCAGGAGGGTACTAGAATTATCGGTGGGATCACATCATAAGTTACAGAAATGTTTAAGCATTATGCTGTACACTTGAAACTAATATAATATTGAATGTAAACTGTAAAAGAAAAAAAAAATTTAAATAATGGTTTTTAATTTCCAAGTGTGGAATTTTCTAGTTATCATTTTCTTATGGATTTCTTGTATATTACAATGTAGTAGAAAATATCCTCTTAAGATTTCAATTTTTAGAAGTTTATGAAAACCAGTTGTGTGGCTTAATACATCATCATTTTTGATAAATGTTCCATTTCCACTTGAAAAGAATGTATATTCTGCAGTCATTGAGTACAGTGTTTTATAATTGTTAATTAGATTAGTTTGTTAATCAAGTTGTTAGAATCTCCTATATTCTTACAGACTTTTTTGTCTACTCATTATATCCTTTATTGAGAGATCTCCCACCATAATTGTGGATTTGTCTTTTTCTCTATAGACAGGCTATGTGATTAGGTGCCTATAAATTGAAAATTCTTTTAAAAAAAATCATAAGAAATGGCTCTCCGTCTCTACTAATACTTTTTCCCTCAAGGTTTTTTAATCTGCTGGTAGTATAGTGAGGTACGGCCCCAATTCTCATCCTTCCTTTAGTTATACCTTTTGTGTTTATACCCTTTGCCATGTAACTTTTTAGTGCTCTCCTACCGTGAGTTGACTTGCTCTGCTTTTGCCTTTGACTTCACAACATCCCTTGAAGCAGAGGCTGTAAATGGGCTTGCATATGGGAACTTGCTTTCTTGAACACTTTCTATCTCCATGAGAATATGCTTAGGCCAGTCTGATTGTGACACATGGAGCAACACTAGGTCACCCTAGTCATCCTAGCTGAGGCCAATCTACATCAGCAGAACAGATAACTGTTTCGCTCAGATGTGTGAACAGTAGATGCTTATTTTTATATGTTACTGAGGTTTTGTCTTTGATTGATACATGGCATTATCCTGGTAATGCAACACTGATAAATATCACATATAAGGTATATGAAATATTAAATTATATTTCATTACAACACGAAGTAATGCCTCCTAAATTTAAACATGATTCCCACACCTCTAGGAGCATTTCCCTGCTCCAGGGCTTTAAACTCTTGCTGTCATACATTTTACTTTTACAATTGTAAAATGTCTATTCAGGTCCTCTGTTCATTTCTTAAGCACATTGTTTTTTGATTCTGACTTGTATGAGTTTATTTCAGCCATTGCTATTTTGAATATTCCATCATTCTTGATAGAGACCTACCCTCACCAATTCCATATGGGAGAGGAGAGAAAAGGAAGGGGCAGGAAACTGTGTGTGTGTGAGTCACTTAGTCAAGGATTGTATTTTTCATATACTTGACCCATGCCTCTAAGTTCTCAAGTTATTCCAAGAGTATGTAACGGTTTAAAAACATTCATATATATTATCTAATGTGATGCTTTTGCCATCTGTTAGTTGGCTACTACAGAGAATATGGTCCATTTTAGAGGTGAGAAAACTAAATGGTACAATGACTGCAATAAAGATGTAAGTTATTGGGAAAAGTGGGATGAAGCTCTAATCTTCTGCAATGAATCCAGTGCATTATCTTAGATTATAAAATTTTTAAAAATTTCATTTATTTTTTATGGAATTTTCTATAGAATAGTGGGGTAGGAAACATTTAAAGGAGAACTAGATCCTCATGTTTTATTTGTCATTCCAGCAAAAGGGTATACCATGCTTAAGAAGGTCAACAAGATTGAAGTAAAGAGCCAGAAGAGAAGAAAGAAAAAGCATAAGCCATGGATTATACGCATCTTCAGCCACGAGTGCTATATCACCTACCTTACTGGCTGCTACAGCTGCCGGTGGAAAACCAAGCTGGAGAAAAAATCTAGACGTGGATTCTGCTGCCGCTCTTTGGTACAGAGAGATGGGAAGGAGCTGGACCACACTTCCTGAGATGTGGGAAACATGGGCTGTCCCCTGCCGCCATGAGGGCTCATTAGTCTCCAGAACTGGGCATGCTTGGGCTCTAAGGTCTGCTGCAATCCTGGAACCAGTTTACCTTACTGAAACATACGCTTGCTTCTTTCACTTTCATTCTTAACCTCTCGTTTTCCTTACTTCCTTTTTTATATCACTCATTTATTCACTCACTTTTGCTTCTACTCACTCAGTGAAGCTTGAAGAAAAAGAGAAGTTTAAGTACATTTAGATGTTTTTGTCAAAGGATTACAGGAATGCCTGAATATTTAATTTTCTTTTCATTGTGAGTTTCCCTAAGGAGCTCTGCTTATGAGAAAAACCAGCAAGTGGGAGACAAGGTGCTCTTTTATTTATTTATTTTATTATTTTTTAATGTTTTTTATTTTTATTTGTTTTTGAGAGAGAGATGCGGGAAGGGAGAGGAGGAGAGAGAGGGGAAAACAGTGATGGGGGAGAGAAACATTGATTGGCTGCCTCCTGCATGCACTCCGACGGGGGATCGAGCCTGCAACCTGGGCATGTGCCCTTATCGGGAATCGAACCAGCGACCTTTTGGTGCATGGGGTAACGCTCAACCAAATGAGCCACACTGGCCAGGGCAAGGTGCTCTTTTATTGTTGGTCAGGCTAATGCCTGACTTTCCCTAAAGAAGAACCCTGGTAAAGCTGAGTGGTGGCCATGTAGCCTGGCCTCATTGAGGGCCTCTTTCTTGCTCTAAGCTATATGTTGGGGCCCTCTGGTAGGCTAAATGATGTAAAAGATGAAATGATGGGCATACCGAAATGAGAAGAGGATGACCATATAATGTACTTTCACTTACTTGCAAACTTGGTCCAGCTAGGGTCTGAAATTCTGACCAGTTGGATAACTAACTTTATGCCTGAGATGGGGAGCACAAAGAAAGTGATAGAAATGGGAGGCTTCCCTGGATTAGGCAGGAGTGTTCTGTCCCCTGTATTTTTTCTGCCCAAATATCTGGCTTCTATGCTAGTGATTGAGGATAACAGAAGTTCCTCAGGCATGGTTCCCATTCTCAAGGAATTCATAGTGTACTGAAGGAAAAGACAAGTGTACAAACTATCTCAATATAGTGAGAGAAGTGCTATCATTGTGAGTGTGTGTGTGTGTGTGTGTGCGCCCGTGCCCGTGCCCACATGCATGCACCCATGTGTCAAAGGAGGGGTTGAAAATAACTTTATTTAGAAATGGAAAGTTGATTAAGAATTATATAGGTAAAGAATAGAGGATGGAAAAAGAAATAGCATTGGTGGAGGAGTAAAAGGGCATTGGTGTGAGGTTTATTTTAGGTGGAGCAGGGGATTTAAATGGAGAAGTGATGGGAAATGAAGTCAGAATGAGAGATGGGACAGACATGTGGTTTTTAGAATTCAACATCTGCCTGTAAGGAATAAACAGCCCCAAAAGATTCTAAGCTAGAGATGCTACCTGAGCTATGTTTTGGAATGATTTGATCATGTGGAGGATGCATCGGAAGGAACAAAACTAATGCAGGGAGATATATATGCATTCAAAGGAGCTATGCTTATGAGAAAAAAAAACAGCCAGTGGGAAAAAAGGTGCTCTATTACGGGTCAGGCTAATGCCTGATTTTCCCTGAAGAAGACTGGTAAGGCTGACCGGTAGCATGGGGCCCAGCCTCATCCCAGTGGCAGTATTCAAAGTAAGAGATGGTTACCTAGATTAGAGTAGTGATGGAAAAGATAGAGAAGAGTGAATTGATTCAGCAGATACTTATTTTGTGGGCATGAGGTTGTAAGTCACATGAAAGCTTTAAAGAAGGACATAGAGGGAAAGATAAAGGGAGGCTTCATGGGAATGATGACATTTAAGGCAGTGTGGTATAGTTGGAAAATCCCTGGACCAGGGCCCGAGAGTATGTTTGGGTCCTAATTCCAACTCTGCCCTTGGGCTGCTTATGTGAATTGAAGTAGGTAATTCTCATGGCCCCATTTCTGCTCAGGGGGAGGAGTATAGCATAGAATGTAAGAGCTAAGACCTAGGGTCTGGGAAAGACTGCCTGGATTCAATTTATGGCTTCACCACTGACTATCACCAAATTAGAGTTTTACCACTGTGGAAACTTGGGCAGGTTAATTAACATTGTGGTGCTTTATATTCCTCAATAGAATAAAGGAGATGATACCAATAGTACCCACCAATAGGGCTGCTTGTGAGGATAGAAGAGATAATATGTGCAGACACTTAGAATTGGGGTTGGCACACAACTTGCACTCAATAAATATTAGCTATTTTTATTAATGTCTTGGAGTCCTTGCCTTTGTAAGTGACCTTCCATGGCTATAAATGATTGTGCAGGTGATTCTGAATAGGAGGTATAAGGTGGTCATAAGCCCAGAGATAGAGAAGCACAGTGGTGTGTTTAGGGAAAAACAAATTTTCAGTATTGAATTTAATGACATGTAAGTTTATAAGTGGTAAGTGGTGGAGTTGGAAAGGAACATTTATGAAGCTTTTCTATGCCATCCTAAAATATTTGAACTTTATCCTGTGAATAGTCGGGAGACTGAAAGTTTTGAACAATAATGGCAACAATAAGACTCAAAATACAAAAATGGATGCAATCAACTAAAACAGTATTATTGAGCACTTACTATGTGTCACAGTGATTAGTACAGGTAAGGCCTCTGGTCCCCCTACACCTAACATTCTAGTGAGATTAGTTAGGTAATAAACAATAAAGAAAGATGATTTCAGATGGTGGTAAGAGTTTTGAAAGTAATAAAAAGAAAAATGTGTTAGAAACTGGGATGGGAGAGTGGTTAGAGAAGACCTCTTTGAACAAGGGTAATGTGAGCTGTTTCCTAAATGAAAAGGTAGAGCCAGCCATATGTGCATCTGGGGCAGAAGTATTCCAGGCAGAAGAACCAGGAAGTGCAAAGCAAAGCTCTTGTGGTGGGAACAAATTTGATTATGTTCCAGAAACAGAGAGAAGGCCAGTGTGGCTGGAATTCAGCAATGGATTCAGTGTGTAGACTGGGATGAGGTCAAGGGTGGGGCAGGGTTGATCATGTAGGACCTTGTGGGCTGTGGCAGGCAGGTTGGATGGCCCTGTAGTGTAATACGAAGCTCTGGCAGTGTTGTGAGCAGGGGAGGGACATTATCTGATACGTGTTTTTAAAAATCCACCCAAGTTTTGTGTAGAAAATAAGACCTGAGTCAAAGCCTGTGCTCTCCATCTTCCTGTGTTCAGAAGTGGCAGTTTAGTGCCGTGATACCTGTTATGTTTCATCTTTGTGGAATACCATTGCTGTTTTCCATTGTATTTATTTATTCTTCACAATCACCTTATGATTTAGGCAGGGTAAGGATTATTGCATCCATTTAAAAAAAAATTATCTTTTTTGTTGAAAATATTACCAATGTTTCCTTTTCCCCCCCCTGATAACCTCCACCCTGCACCCCCCGTCCCTCCAGGTCTTCACCACACTATTGTGGATTATGCATATATGCATATAAATTGTTAGGTGGTTCTCCACCTCTCCCCTCTCCCCAGCCTTCCTTCTGAGAGTTGTCAGTCTCTTCCATGCTTCTGTGTCTCTAGATCTGTTTTGTTCATCAGTTTATTTTTTCATTATATTCCACATATGAGTAAGATCATGTGATACTTGTCTTTCTCTGACTGGCTTATTTCACTTAGCAAAATACTCTCCAGGTCCCACCATGCTGTCTCAAAGGGTAAGGGAACCTTTTTTTCACAGCTGCATATTATTCCATGGTGTAAGTGAGAAGATGCTTGATATGATTTCAGTTTTCTTGAACTTGTAGAGACTTGTTTTGTGTCCTAGTATGTGGCCTATCTTTGAGAATGTCCCTTGTGCCCTTGAGGAGAATGTATACTCTGGAGCTTTGGGGTGAAATGTTCTGTAGATGTCAATTAAATCCATCTGATCTAGTGTGTCGTTTAGAGTCCCCGTTTCCTTGTTGATTTTTTTTGTCTGGAGGATCTATCCAGTAAAGTCAGTGGGGAGTTAAAGTCCCCTAGTATGACTATATTATTGCTGTCGATCTCTCCTTTAAAGTCCTCCAGAAGTTTTGTTTTTTTTCCCTAGCTTGTATGAGTCTTGTTCTGAGGTGGGACCCTTGTAGATAGCATATATTTGGTTCATGTTTTCTTATCCACTCAGCTACCCTATGTTTTGATTGGAGCACTTAATCCATTTATATTTAAGGTTATTATTGATAGGTACTTATCTATTGCTATTTTATTTCTTTTTTAAAATATTTTTTAAAAATATGTCTATTGATTTCAGAGAGCAGAAGGGAGACGGAGAGAGAGATAGAAACATCAGTGATGAGAGAGTCATTGATTGGCTGCCTCCTGCATGCCCCCTACTGAGGATCGAGCCCACAACCTCAGCATGTGCCCTCACTGGGAATCGAACCATGATCTCCTGGCTCATAGGTCGATGCTTAACCGCTGAGTGACGCTGGCCAGGCGCCATTTTATTTCTTTATGCCTATGTTTCTCTTTCCTCTATTTTAACTTCTTATTAAAGCAGTCCCTTTAACATTTCTTGCAATGCTGGTTGGTTGGTGATAAACTCATTCAGCTTTTTCTTGTCTGGGAAGCTCTTTATTCCACCATCTATTTTGAATGGTAGCCTTGCTGTATAGAGTAGTCTTGGTTTCAGATCCTTGCTTTTCATTACCTCAAATGCTTCATGCCATTCCCTTCTGGCCTGTGGAGTGTCTGATGAGAAATAAGCTGACAGCCTTGTGGGAGCTCCTTTGTTGGTAACAGCTTGCTTTTCTCTTGCCGTCTTTAAGATTCTCTTTGTCTTGAATTTTTGGCATTTTAATTATGATGTGTCTGGGTGTTGGCCACTTTGGTTCTTTTTGCTTGGGACTCTCTGTGCCTCCTGAACTTGTGTGACTTTCCTTCACCAGGTTAAGGAAGTTTTCTGCCATTATTTCTTCAAACAGTTTCTCTAACCCTTGCTTACTTTTGACCTCTTCTGGTGTTCCTATGATGTGAATATTGTTGTTTCATGTTGTCCCACAGCTCCCTTAGACTGTCCTCCTGTTTTTTAATTGTTTTTTTCTTTTTGGTTCTCCGATTGATTTTTTTCNTTTTTAATTGTTTTTTTCTTTTTGGTTCTCCGATTGAGTTATTTTTTTCTACTATGTCTTCTAATTCACGGATCTGATTCTCAGCTTACCCTAATCTGCTGTTCATTCCTTCCAAAGTTTTTTTTATTTCTACTATGTCATCCTTAATTTCCTTCATAGTTTCCATTTCTTTTCTCATGCTGTTGAGCATCCTTATGATTAGTATTCTGAACTCTATATCTGATAGATTGCTTATTTCCATTTCATTTGGCTCTTCTTCTGGAGAATTCTTTTGTTCTTGTACTTGGGGCGTGATTTTTTGTCTCCCCATTTTGGCTGCCTGTTTGGATTTGTTCTATGTATTAGGTATATCTGCTAGGACTCCCAGTCTTTTAGATGGCCTCTGGTGTAGGCCAGTGTCAGATGCTGTTTATTACTGGCCTTGAGCACCATGTTTGAAGCTTTCTGCACTTCACAGCTTGCAGTTCCCTCTGCTTGGACTGGGTGTGTTTGGAAAGCACCAAGATGCTATTCCGTCCATTTTTAACAGTAAGAGCATTGTCCCTAAGAGATGGATTTCTTCTGTGATAGAGGTGTTAGGATTATAGCTCAACAACCAAAACCTAATGTTCTCCAGAAGGGTTTGGCAACCCCTGGCATGGCTGGTTTGTGACTTGATTTTCAGTATAGGAGGTTGCTTTCAAGGCTTAGTTTGAACACCTCCTCTGCAATGACATCCTCTATCATGCTTTGTGCTCACAGATCCAATCTAGGCAGTATCCTGTCACTTCTTGTCTGTGTCACCTTGAGTCAGTTAGTTTACCTGTCTGAGCTTTAGTTCTTTCTGATGCAAAATGAGGATAACAATACTTATAAAATTTATATTGAAAAATAAATGAATGTAGCCCATGAAGTGTCTAGCATTGTACTGCCACAAAATACTCAAAAACAGGTTTATTCACTAACCCTCTCACATCCCCCCCAAATATTGGTCGATAAATGACTAAATGAACTGATGAACAATGAATTAATGAGTTATTCAGTGAATGAGTTATCAAACAAACATTTGGTGGATGGAGAGGTGGATGAATTCATCAGATAATTTCTGAGAGCCAGCTGCATTTAAGGAACTATGCTACATATTAGCAATACAGAGATGTGTAACAGAAGTTCCATTTCCTCAGAGTAGAAACTGTCACAACAGATACAAACATAAACACATAATTGCAGTTCAGTGTAATAAATGTTAATATAGGCTTGTACGAGATTCCATAGGGTTTAAAAGAATACAGTGTTCACTGTAGCCTGTGAGAGTAATGCATGGCCCTGTAACTATACAGAGCTTTGGAAAGCGTATACAGATATTGCTGAGATAATATGGATAAATGGAGTTAAATTCTACTTCCATTTTTCTCTTCCCAGACAGAGCTGTTATATTTCCTATTTCTGGTTATTGCATTTTTCGTGTCCGTGATTTTGCTGTTCGTGTGGATAGCAGCCTCAAATGAATACAATCGCTTTGACTGGTGAGTTTCACTTTTTTATTTTCATTTGTGAAAGGGCTTTTTGGTCTAATAGCCACCTGGATCCTACCTCAGGTTGAAAAGAGGGAAGGTGGGTAAAATTGTGCTTTAACCTGTTGGATGAGAGGCCTGGCCCTGAGGCAGGGTAAGGATGCTGAGCACCCTCGCCTGTTGTATTTCCCGTCCACCTGTGCTCATTCACATTTAGACCAAATCTGGTTCAGTGGAAAGTTTCTCTGTTATTTCAGTGTTTGCATTTCTTTTATTCTGATGACTCCCTGACTGATACCATGTTCCTCAGTTGCCTTGTCTGGGTTACTGATGCCTATATCAATTGGTATTCGTCGTCTCTGTCCATGAACCCTGATGTCTCTGTCTCACTTCCATCCTCTGCCTCTTTCTCTGTCCTTAGGAGACTTTCTAGGACTCTGTATCAGAAATAGGTGTTCCTTATCAGCACCCTTTCATGGTCAAATTCCTACTCCTGGACTGTGCCCAGCTCTTCCAGTTTCTCTGGCTGTTGCAAATCTTACCCATTTTTGGTATTTAGGGGGAAAAGGCGTATATTTGAGTATGAGGCTTTTTAATGGAATACAGTTTATTTTTCCCTTTACAGAAGCAAAATATGGTTTATTTTAAATGTAAAAAATGGAGACAATCAGAAAGTATAAAATTAGCTTAGTAGCATTCCATAGTGACAGTCACTTTTTGGTTTCATTCCCTGCCTTTTTTTTCTATGCTTATTTTATATTATTATGCTCATACCATATATATAATTTTGTTTTTCCTTTTCACCTAGCATAAGTATAAACATTTTGGTTAATTATTAAAACTTTTAATGAATAGCTCTTAAAATTGTTTCAAAATATTTCATGACATGAAGATGCTATAAAACCCTTACTTAACCACCCTTTATTGTTAGGCATTATGAGTGTTTCCAATTTCCTTGTTTTCATAAAATAAGGGTGCAGAGAAATCATTCTGTTCTGACTAGTGTTCTTAGAATAGTTTCCTCCAAAGTTGTGGTATTGAGTTAAGAAGACGAAAAACTTGTAAGATTCATTATGTCTGTTGCCAAAGTACTTTCTCAAAAGGTTGTAGCAATTTCTGTTCACAACAGAGGTATATGAGGGTATCCATTTTAAGCTGCCATTGACAAAATGAACTATTCTGATTTTGAAATTTTAAAATTAATTTTTAAGACAGAATTTGTTAAAATTTTAATTTCATCATTAAGTTTCAAAACTAGGTTATTTAACTAATTTATTTTCTTTTTAGTTCCTTTGCCAATTTATCTTTAGTAAATCTTTAGTAAGCATTCTTATCAGTTAATATGTAATCTTTATTTGTGGATGAGTTCTAAATTATTCGACAGCACTTGAAATAAAAATTTATTTATTTATATTTATAAAATTTCCCCCCAGTTAAAAAAAACTTCATTAGGATATAATTGAAATATGATATTATATTAGTTTCAGGTATACAACATAATGACTTGGTATTTGCATATATTTTGTAAAATGATCACCACAATAAATGTAGTTAACATCTATCATCACACATAGTTACAATTTTTTCTTGTGATGAGAAATTATAAGATCTACTCTCTTAGCAACTTTCAAATATATAATATATTAATAACTATAACCACCATGCTATACTTACATCCCCATGACTTATAAAATAAATGTTATAAAATAAATAACTGGAAACGTACCTTTTTTTTTCGATTTTCCCTACCCATTTTGTCTATTACCCAGCCTTTGTCTGTCTCTTGTAACCAGAGTTTGGTTTTCTTAGGATCTACATCAAAGTGAGATCATACAGTATTTGTGTGTCTCTATCTGACCTATTTCACTTAGTATAATGCCCTCAGGTTCCATCCACATAGTTGCAACTGGCAGAATTTTCTTTTTTGTGGATGAATAATATTACATTGTGTGTATGCGTGTGTGTGCATGCGCGTGTGCACGTGTGTTTGTGTACACATAGTGACAGTCACTTGTCGGCATCATTCCTAGCTAAAGGAATTTGTTCCCACCAAACCAGCATTATAAGAAATGCTAAAGGGCTTGCTTTAAGGTGAAGCAGGAGGAGGAGCCTCGGAGGGGGAGGGGAAGGGAAGGAGGGAGGCGGAGGAGGAGGAGAAGGAACCAGAGGAACATAGTTAAAAGAATAAAATGGCAAAGAGTATGTGCCTGTCAATAATTACTTTAAATGTAAATGTCTTAAATGCTGCAATAAAAAGACATGGGGTAGCTGAATGGATAAGAAAAGAAGACCCATATATATATGCAGTTTACAAGAGACTCACCTCAGAGTGAAAGATACACACAGACTAAAAGTAAAGGGATGGAAAAAGATATTTCATGAAAATGGAAGGTGGGAAAAAAAGCTGGGGTAGCAATATTTATATCCGACAAAACAGACTTTATACCAAGGCTATAGTAAGAGACAAAGAAGGACACTACATAATGATAAAGGGAGCAATCCAACAAGAGGATTTAACCATTGTAAATATTTATACACCCAACATTGGAGCACCTAAATTTGTAAAGCAAATCTTGATGGACATAAAGGGAGAGATTGGCAGTAATACAGTCATATTAGGGGATTTTAACACACCATGGACATCAGTAGGTAGATCTTACAGACAGAAGGTCAACAAGGAAACAGTGGCCTTAAATGACAAACCAGATCAGATGGATTTAATAGATATCTTCAGAGCATTTCACTCCAGAGCAGCAGAATATACATTCTTTTCAAGTGCACATGGAATGTTTTCTAGGATAGACCACAGGTTAGGACACAAAACAAGTCTCATTAAATTTATGAAGATTGAAATCATATCAAACATCTTCTCTGACCACAATGGTATGAAACTAGAAATCAAACACAAGAAAAATGAAAAACACGAAGACATGGAGGCTATAACATGGTACTAAATTATGAATGGGTTAGCAGTGAGATCCAGGAAGAAATAAAGGGATATTTTGAAGCAAATGAAATGAGAACACAACAACTCAATGTCTATGACGCACAATGAAAGCAGTCCTAAGGGGGAATTCATAGCATTACAGGCCTATTTCAAGAAACAAGAAAAAGCTCAAATAAACAATCTAACTTTACACTTAAAGGAACTTGAAAAAGAATAACAAAGTCCAAAGTGCATAGAAGGAAGGAAATAATAAAGATCAGAGCAGAAATAAATGAAATAGAGTCTAAAAAATGATACAAAAGATCAATGAAACCAAGAGCTGGTTCTTTGAAAAGGTCAACAAGTTTGACAAACCTTTAATCAGACTCATCAAGGAAAAAAGAGAAAAGACCCAAATAAATAGAAACGAAAGAGAAGAGAAGAAATAACAACTGACACCAAAGAAATACAAAGGATTGTAAGAAAGTATTATGAACAACTATATGCCAACAAGTTGGACAATCTAGAATGGGTGGGGAACCGTTTTTATGCCAAGGGCCATTTGGCTATTTATAACATTTGAGGGCCATACAAAATGATCAACTTAAAAATTAGCCTGCTATATTTGGTTAAACATTTAATTAACTCACCCCTAATGTGATGGCTGGAACTGTTTTTCTTTGGTGAGGTTTGTGGTGTTAGCTGGTATTGATGATGCTGCTACTCGAAGTTGCTTTTCCAGGTTTGCGTTGGTCAGTATAGAGCGCAGTTGACTCCTTGTGATGGTAGGTTTTGGAAAGAACTGCTTGCAGCAGTAAGTTGTTCCAAACACAGATGCATATTTCAGTGCATGTCTCCTCAAAGTGGGAAATTCATTATTGCTTATGTAACATTTGTGGAACTCAGCGGAAGGTTGCTGTACCTAGCTTTCATCTCATCATCGCTTTGCAGCCGAATGGTTTTGTGTTGTAGGCTATCAGGCACATAGGTTCCACATTGAATGGGTAGCAAAGATGTTCCTTTTGTTTACATGTCCTTGAATCTTTCATTAAATGCCTCAATTAGTTTCACACATTCACCAATATATTAAATGTCATAGAAGGCTTTTGTCCTTCCAGAGTGGGGAAATGCACTGTGTTATTCCTTTCCAGTTATACTTTCCACAGCTTTAATTTAGCTTCAAATGATTTCACGTTTGAAAGCAGAGAGCTAAGAAACTGGTGGGGCCTGCAGCTTGATGTTTAGCTCTGAGAGGTACTTGGTAATGTCATTGAGTTCCCTGACAGGTTTTCCTTTCATCTCCATGAACCTGCTTGACTTCATCCTGCAGTTCGTAAAACCTCGTGAGCCTGTTCCTGTGACTCTGTCACCACATTTCACAGTGGTAAACAAGATTACCGTACTCAGTCAAAGTCGTTCAGTAACTCCTTAAACTGGTGGCTGTTAAATCCTCTGCTTTTGAAAAAACTTATGCATGACACTACTGTTGACATCATATTGTTGAGCTGCAACGACTGTGCACAGAGGCTTTCTTGGTGTATGATGCAGTGGCATAACTAAATCACTTGGATCAAGACTGCGACAATTCAGTTCTTTCTTGACAAATGCAGTTAACCCTTTTTGCCAGCCAACCGTGGCTGGACCTCCATCTATAGTAACACCACTTACTTTTCAAATGTTAGCTGGAGTTTTTTCATTGATAAAATAAGTTCTCACCTCTTGTAGTGCCATGCATGGCTTCCAGTCACAGCAGTGCCTCTCGTGTGTCGAACTCTACAGTTATTCCATGAACAAAAACGGTCAGTTGGGTAGTATTTGTTATGTCCATTGTCTCACCACAAGCCAGAGAAAAAATTTGAAAATCCTTCAGTTTTTTTCAATATCTTGTGCTAAATCAGTAATTCGATCTGAGACTAACATTCTGAAACAATTTTACTTTGGTGCTAGCAACTCCCAGCAGCCACCATGCACTCTTCCACAAACTTTCCCTCTACGTGAGGCCTCAGCTTCTTTGTGATTAGCTCACTTACTACCTAACTTCTCTGAATAATGTCTCTGTCACAACGAGGCCTCGTGAAAGAGGCTTGTGATTCCAAACTCCGCTGAAGAGCATTGATTTTTATCCAGATGCAGTTGGCCTCCCAATTCATTGAGTTTAGCATGTTTTGAGCTGTAATGATGCTCTAATTCGCTTTTTTCATTATTGCTAACGCATCACCACAAACTAAGCATACAGGTTTACCTTTGACTTCAACAAAAAAATAATCATTTGTCCATTTCTCTTGGGAAGATCGACACTCTGCATCAACTTTTCTTTGTAGTCACCATTTGTAGGATGTCACACCACTTAAGTTTTGCTAACCAGTGTGTGTTTCTCCAGTGATGCGATTATTTTGCTTTGATTGCTGTTCTAATCCTGCATCTTGGATTTGGAACATATCCAATGTTCATATCATTGACTCTTGAGGTCTTTTTTGTGTACCATAATTTTCTTAATCTTCATCTCAGATTCAGTTTTTGCGAGGATTGTTGATCGTGGATATGTGGGTAAAGGTTGGATTGGAGTTATCATCTGTGTTGACAAAGAAGTTGACAACATTGTCGTCCATCATTGGAAGCAAGGTCATCAATGTCTGAAGAAGTCATCTCATTGCATCTTGTCTCATCATCACTGGATCACTGTAGTTTTGCCACAGTGTGTTAACACTTTTGCAACGTGTACACTCCCAGCCTGCCTGGCACTAACTGTCCTCTGAGTCACCGCAATACAGGCAGCCGACGAGAAGCATATATGTCTGTCCTTTCATGTACTCGTATGTGTCCCATCTATCCCATAATGGACATTCCTTGCTTGACCCTCAAAATTTTCGTTATTATTATGATTCACTTAATATAAATTTATGTCACTATGAGGAAAGCTCCTATATTTATTGAATTTTGAGTCCTGCCTGTGGTTGCCTTGGCAGAGCCAGACCAAATGATTTCGTGGGCTGTATATGGTCCATGGGCTGGACGTTTCCCACCCCTGATCTGGAAGAAGTGGATACATTCTTAGAAACATACAGTCTTCCAAAACTCAATCAGGAAGAATCAGAGAATGTGAATGGACAGATTACAAGTAAGGAATTTGAAGCAGTAATAAAAAAAACTTCCAACAAATAAAAGTCCTGGACTGGATGTCTTCACAGGTGAATTTCAGCAAACTCTCAAAGAACTAACACATATTCCAAAAAATTCAAGAGGGAAAACTCCCAACTTCAATATATGAGGCCAGCATTGTTCTAATTCCAAAACCTGACAAAGACACCACAAGAAAAAATTATAGGCCAGTATCCCTGATGAACATAGATACTACAATTCTCAACAAAATACTAGCAAACTTAAAAAGATCATGCATCATGATCAAGTGGGATTTATTCCAGGGATGCAAGGCTGATACAATATCTGCAAATCAATACATGTGGTACATCACATATACAAAATGAAAGATAAAAAACCACATGAGCATATCAATAGATGCAGAAAAAGCATTCAACAAAATTCAGTACCCATTTATGATAAAAACTCGGAAAAGTGGGAGTAGAGGGAACATATCTCAGTGTAATAAAGACCATATATGACAAGTCCACAGCCAGTATCATACTCAACGGGCAAAATCTACAAGCATTCTCCTTAAGATTAGGAACAAGATAGGGATGTCCATTTTGTTCAACATAGTACTGGAAGTCCTGGCCACAGCAGTCAGACAAGAAAAAGAAATAAAAGGCATCTAAATTAGAAAGGAAGAAGTAAAACTGTCATTATTTGTAGATGACATGATACTGTATATAGAGAACCCTAACGATTCCATCAAAAAATGGCTAGAACTGATAAATGAATTCAGAAAAGTAGCAGAATACAAAATAAATATCCAGAAATCAGTTGCGCTTTTTTTTTTTTTTTTTT